AACAAATTATTTGTAAACAACTTAACTAAAATATAAAAATAGTACCCTGAACAATTATAAAAGCATTTTTTTTAAGAAAAGAAGGGAGGTATCAAAAGCATTTTTTTTAAGAAAAGAAGGGAGGATCCATCCACGTTGACGCGATAAAAGGGCAAAGATGGATGTGACTAACACCACCTCTGACCTTCGCTGATCCAACAATGTAAAAACCACCCCATCATCTCTTCTTCTCCTTCTTAAGATTAAAAATTCAAATAGAAATTAAAATTAAAATAAATAGAGTATCAATGGGTTCCATTTTGCTTGAGTCGAAAACCCTCCCTCCACGCTGCCTCTGGCGCCAACATTTTTTTCCTCTCCTTCACCGAGACAAAAACATTTCATGGCGCCCCGCCCTTTTTGTTCATTTTCAGAGACACTTTGGCGGGCGGGCGGGAGGGCTTTTCAGTCAAAAGGATTCAATGCCAGTGGCATTCTTGTCATTTCATTACTCAAACAAGCTAGGGTTTCAAAACCCATTTATAAAGCTAGTTCTTTTAGATCTGCCAGCGTGCAGTCTGATTTGTGTGCCTGTCGTCTCTCTCTCTCTCTCCCCCCTAATGTCGGTTCGCTCAAAATCGACGACACTCTTATCATAATTATTAGCCATCTCATTAACATTGTACTTGCTGAGTTAATGATCTGCTTCTACTTTGATCTCTTCCTCCAAATCCACAATCTCCTTTATATTTTCGATCAGTAGAGCTTTTGCTGAATCCATCCCCACTTCAAACTACAACTACTGCTCAATCACCAGCTATTGCTATTCATCACCCATTTGAGGAAGTGGGTTGTCTTGTCTTCAGATCTCAAGTTGAGGAGTTGCTTATTTATAATGCTGGATCCATGTGAGAGAGTGAGTAACTTCTAGCTAGCTTGTTTATGGAGTTCATCTTTAGGTATCAATCCTGACCCTAATGCTCTCTCCCGTTTTTCTTATTGTTTTCCAGCAGGGATCAGAGTCTGAAGAAATGAGTAGCAAATCACTAGAAACCGAGAGCCCACTGAAGAAGACCTGTGCTGATTGTGGCACTTCAAAGACTCCACTTTGGAGAGGTGGTCCAGCTGGCCCTAAGGTGATTTAATTGAATCATAGATCAGATCAGTTTTGCTTTGTTAATGTTTTCGACGTATGCTTTGATTTGATATTAATTGCTCTTTTTATCTTGCAGTCACTGTGCAATGCTTGTGGGATTAGGAGCAGGAAGAAGAAGAGGGATATTTTAGGGTTGAGCAAGGGAGGGGCAGCAGCAAATGACAAGAGAGCCAAGAAAGGGAGCAGTAACAATGGCTCAAGTAATTATAATAGCAATAACAAGCAATTAGGTGATGGGTTAAAGCAGAGATTACTGGCTCTGGGTAGGGAAGTCCTGGTGCAAGGATCAACGGTGGAGAGGCGAAGGAGGAAGCTAGGTGAAGAAGAGCAAGCTGCAGTGTTATTGATGGCCTTATCTTATGGCTCTGTTTATGCTTGAGTTGATGATTTTTGTTTAGGAGACGGGGGAGGTTAATAAGGCGATCAAGAGTGTGCTAGCTAACTAAGAATGTGTGGGCTCGGGTTAATTTTTTTTAGTATCAGGTATTTTTTAGGTGTTTTGGGCTAACTGTACTGGGGATTTGTAGCATTGTCGCAAGCGCTCAAAAAATGTTGAGACTTCATTCTATTTTTTTGCAAACAGAAGCAGACCACTCGCTTGTCTCTCTGTCATGTTTGGATGTTATCATCAAGCATCGCCATTGCTCCAACCTCCCAAGTGCTCTGAGATTAAAAGTCAGTCAATCTAGTAGTAAATTCACATCTTGGGATCAAAGGCGATCATTTCTGCTCTGTGCAAGTCTCTAAGAAAATTCATAGGAACCCAGTCTTTTTTTTAATTCCATAATTATCTTCTGAGTACTTTTTTTCTTTTAAATATGAAACCTTAGTGTTTTTTAATTAAAGATGATTTTAACGGTATATCTCTCATGTTCTTATGATGTGTTTATAAATATTTAATAGATTGTTTGAATGTGATCTGAGATTTTGAATTTAAAAATAAATAGAATTAAAACTCCTCTTGTCTTTTTTTTACCCGCCAAAGCGCCTAATTGTTCTTTGCTCAGAATCTTTTCGGTTAACTTGAAAATTTATATTTTAAGAGGATTAAAATGGAGTTGTTCCCTCTAATTTCTTTTATATAAAAAAAGCCAATTGATTTTAATTGAATCATTAATTAACCCAAGTTTTGATTAAACCGCATCAATCTTTTACTTCAAGCTTTTGTGGCAAAGTTACTAACTGGGGCAAAGTATAAGAAGTGGGAATTTGAATATTATTTACCGTTACTAATTTGGTATCATTTTGCTATATTCATCACCAATATAGTCTTCCCAGCTTGGTCTGTGCTGATAAGTTAACTCAGATCCAGTTGCATTGAAGAATAAATCTATGATAAAGCGAATTCAATTTAACCTAATGAAAAACCGGGGTTGACCCATGACCCAGTAAACCTCGGTTAAAACAATTGATAGATTTTTACAGTCACTTCATTGTTCATGTCAACAGAACGAAATAAAAGAAGCTTTTAGGAAAGAAAAGGGGCAGGGGTTAATCTTCCTTCTTTTATTTTTAGGCCGATAAAGGGAAGAAAGAGACAGGTGAAGGAGAGACGGCCTGACCGTGTGAGGAGGGAGTCTTCTAAGCAACTCAACAGCGATGAGCCAAGCACCACTGGTTTACTAGGGAGACGGGTCGACATAATTAGAGATGAAGGAAGATCAAAAACAAGGAGGAAGAAGAAGAAGGGATGGATTGAGTAGAGAGAAATCTGCAGAGGTGCTAGGTCTTATTATTAAGCCCAACAAGATATGAATGGATTTACAAGTTCATCATATTGTTATGGGATCGCTGGAGAATAAAAAACCATGACTATCAGCAGAGTGAACGGAAGGCAATCGCACAAAAGCAACGAATGAAGTTGGGGTTTGAAAGTGTGCTCTGTGCTTTCTGAGATTCCATTCCTTTCACAAGGCCTGTGGCTGTGGCCCGTGGGGGCGTGAATGATTTGGTGTATAACTGGGGAGGTTGACTGGGCTTTAACTCTTTTCTGAGAAAGGACTCAAACACAACCACTTACGCTGATTAAATAGAAAGCAGGAAAAAAGTTTGACTACCACCCCCATGCACAATCATCAAGATGCACAACCCATAAAATTTCTTCAATCATTCTTGCATCTTGCTCCTGTATATTATAACAAAAATTAAATATAATTGAAAAATGACTGTAGATTAAAAGATGTTTTACCATAAATTATAATAATAGTTTTATTTTAAATTTTTTATATTATGTTTTTGTGTTACTTTGATTGTTTGCTGTTTTTTTTCCTACGACATTGTTGCACAATTTTATTTTTTTTGAATCAAATCAAAAATATTTATTATATCCAAACATTTTGAGTTTAGCATGATAGTAGGATTGAAGAATTTATAAAAAATAAAAAAATTAATTAGAATTTTTGTTTATGATATTTTAAAAATAATTTAAATTTTTTTATATAAAAAATTAATTAGTATTTTTTTTAGGATATTTCAAGCATAGTTTAAATATTTTTTATATAAAATATAAAAATAATTTATAAAAAAATAATTAGAATTTATGTTCAGGATAATTCAAGATAATTATAAAAATTATAAAAAATAAAATAACAATTATAAAATCAAATAATTAGAATTTCTGTTTCATATACTTTTAGGATAGTTGAAATTTTTTTATAAAAATAAAAAAATTAATTATGATTTCTGTTTAGTATATTTAAGATAATTAAAAAAAATTATAAAAAAATTAATTATAATTTTTGTTTAGAATACTTTAAAAATAGTTTAAATATTTTTTTAAGGCACTTGAATTTAGCATGATTATGAAATTTTAATAGTTTAAAATATTCTCTATATTTTTAATATTTTTTTAAAAAATAATATTACCTGGCCATGATCATGGGACTCTTTTAGCAACTATTTTGTAACAATAATATTTCTGGAGTAGCTGTGCTTATTAAACTAAAATCTACCTCTTCATTAAGGATACTATAGGGAAATTATTATTATTATTATTATTATATTCTGGGGTAGTCTAATATTTCAAAGGAAATCGAAGAGAGAGAGAGAGAGAGAGTATTACTGCTCCCCTATGTTATATTGATTGCATGTACCATGAGACTTGCACATCCATCATCATCATCATCTCCTTCAGCCTCTTTCATCGTTGCCAGCTTTCTTGGCTAATGGTGCTCCAAGGACATTAAAATTACAGAACCATCACAGCTCGCATCTCCGGCGACGCAATGACCACTTGTGCTCTTCAATCTCCAAGGCTCACATGTTTGGGTTTCTGATTGTTAGTAGCAATCATCATAGATTTTTATTGCTAAGTAACCCGACTGGGTTTCTAATGGATACTAGAAAGTCATCCATGTAACCTGACTTCACTAGATCGGAGGTATGGACAGATGATAAATCTATGATGGAGACATTTTGAGTCGGAGTCGGGTAAAGTAAAACCCGGTTTCAACTCCACCCATTGCCAGCCATACTTCTCTCCGTGGACAAAGACGAAATGGCCCAGATGGCTGTAAGCTCATCACTGTTTAAATTTAAGGGGCCGCAAGCCCAACTAACCGCAGATGATTTCTCCTTGCGGGCAACATAGAACACATAGATCCACCAATGCATGGACGTCCAACAAGGGCCAGAGAGTCCCACCAATGCAATTACGGAGTCATATTATCCGCCCATACCTTACGGATATAAATCTTGAACACCTAATTGAGTTTCGGATATCCATTATCCAAATAACGGGCAATTACTGAACTTGTTATTGGTGCTGCTGGTGTCATCGGTGCTTATGCTACTGTTCACGGTGCTAATCTCTAACTAAGGAACCGAAAGCATACACGGTTAATGATAGAATTGTGAAATAACGGGCAATTACTGAACTTGTTATTGTTGCTGCTGGTATCATCGGTGCTTATGCTACTGTTCACGGTTTTTTATTTAACTGAATGCTAGAGAAGCATTCATTCATTACTTGTTCGAAACCCGGCCGTCTTTATTATCCATAAAATACACTACCTGTTCCGGTCTTTATCAATTGAATTTGGGTAAAACTATTAATTATTCCCACGTACTTAAAATCTAACTATGAATCCACCGATACTCTTATTAAAGCATCGTTATTATATAAATCTATCAATTGAAAGGTGGTGGATAGTCATATTTTCTTGACTTGCTATAATTAAAAAGAAAAGGATAAGAATTATTGAGCAGTAGAACCTGTGATTTGAAGATGAAACTGGTTTTGTAAATGTTTTTGTATTATCGTAAATCATCTAGGCAAGCTGGATTGGCAAATATTCAATGCGAGAAAGAAGTTCAAGTCTTTCAGCACAAATACCCTCATTACTGCATTTGTTCCCTCTACTGCCTCTTTAGTTTGGAAATCTATTACGAGGGCTTTCACTCAACTTCATCATCTACATATGATTGCAAACAGGAATGCATCTCTATGGAATGATGCTTGGATGGAAAAGGGGCTGCTGGGATCTCTTTTTGTCATTATCAGTGATGCTGACCTTAGGTTAAGAGACGTGTCGAGGGGTGGATCTTTCAGTAGGCTGTCGACTAACATCCCAAAGCTTATCAAGCTCAATGTCATGGCAATTCCAGTCCCTACTTTTCTAGCTCTGGTGATGTTATTATGCGGGCAGCTAGAATGACATCTCTGCATCGGCTTTCGAATAGAATGAGGGACCTGCAGCATCACGAGAACTGGAATTGGGTTTGGAAGTTGACGGCTCCAGAGAAAATTAGAATGTTCTTTTAGCTCTAGTGATCCAGTTGAACCACACTTCGAGAGAAGCTGATTTTCTTGCCAGGAGAGGTACTCAGAGTGAGATTTGTCCTCGTGTTGATTGGGTGCCGGGTGCCAGTAACCGTAGAGATGATTCCTTTCGTTGTTTTTCAAAATCCACTGCACCAAAATAGAATTATTTTCCCCTTTCTTTGCTTATAAAATATGTTCCATTGAGAAGAGTTTTTTTTAAATGAGTCAAATATTTAAAAATGGTTTTTTTCTTAAAAAAAGAGAGAGAAAGAGAGCGAGTTCTCCGTGTAGAAACTCATGTCTCCATTGGATGCCATTGCCTTATTTGTCAGTCAGGACCCTACCATCCATCATCCCAAGACGTGCCATCCAGCTAATTGTTCTTGTGTTTTGTCTCGTTTCAGTAAATTGTAGAGAGAGGGCCGATGGCCTCCATGCTCTCCCTCCACACATGATATTCTCCTTTTAGGGTTCCATTGCTATATTATCTCATAAATAAAAATGTGTCAACAACCATCGAGCTGTTTTCCCAGCATATATATATATATATATAGACACACACATATATATATATGTATATATATATTAAAAAAAGAAAAGGGGGGAATCTCTCATCGTTCTTTTCAGCTATCTTAAAACGTAGCAACACACTTTTCTTTTCTTTCTGGGGTAATTCAAGTTTTTGGATCAGCTTCCACACACCAAAATTAATTCTCAAACTCATTAAATACCATACAAACTATCAAACAGGCAAAGCAGCGCGGGGCAACATGGGTCGCAACACACTTTTGCTCACATGGGAATTTGGTCGACCATAATCGTGAAAGCACGGTAAAGAGACGAGGCAACAAAAGTGGCTATGATTAGAGGCATTTTTAAGTTTTGATTGATGGGGGAGGAGGGCCCCACTCCTATTCCAGTTCCTATACATTATCACATCCCTTTACACACCTTAATAATAAAATTCTGGCCTTTTCTCAACAGGCCTGTTTAGATTTCGGTGCGCTTCGTGTTTTTTTTTTAAAAAAAAAAAAAAATATTTTTTAATATTTTTAAATCATTTTCATATACTATACTTTTTTAATATTTTTAAATCATTTTCATATTCTATACTAAGAATAATTTTAAAAAAATAATAAAAAAATATTATTCTAATATATTCTCAAATAAAAAATATTTTAAAAATCAATAAAATCGCATCCATAAATATATATTTGTGATTTGATATATATTTTTTTGTGATTGTAGTCTTAGAAAATAAATTAAAAAAATTATTGGGTTGATTTATTACTTGTTGTAATTTTATTAAAAGCATTTTGTCGATTCTTCATTCGCAAGACGTGATGTAATAACAACAATAATTCTCTCCTAATTACAGTATCAAAGGTCACTGTTTACACATCTCTTCATTCATGTTTAAATGCGTGAAGTGCATCTTTTGCAAAGCAAATAGCTCTAGTTAATTAATTAATTAATTAAAAAATAAAAAAGTGGAGGTCGATTTGATTTGACTTTGAAAGCAAGGCAAAAGAAGACACTAATTCGAAGTGAATTAATTAATTATAAGAAGATCAATAATTTTCACCAGCTCGACCACCTTGACGGTGCTGAACACTGCGAGCAATTAATGGTGACTGCCACACATAATTGTTAAAGGTGGCTACCATTGAATATTCATAAATCAAAGTTCTATTTATTGCGGCCATCCATGCTCCCAAGAACTTCCGATCCATTCAACAACACGGGGAAATTGAGTTAAATTATTTATTACAACCGACAGTTTGGGACTGCTTTATTATATAAGCTAAGTACAAGCAAAAAAAAAAAAAAAAGTTATTGTAGAGAAAAAATGACAAATTTACTTGAGTAATGTAAAATTAAGAGATAAAAATACTAGTCTGGTAAGCAAATTACAGCTGCAAAAGAAAAGGGAGAGTGGTTTTCTTCACAATTGTCAGATGGGCTCATGGTTTCTGTGCCAAAAATCCCTAATGTCTTGATCCAAATCGAAGTGAAAGGAGGACCCCTTTCTTGTTCACCGTGGACAGGACCAAGTTCAAGAATCCAAGACACTCAGTTCCTCTGATATCATCAACTCAGCTGCGACTTGATTAATTTCTCGGATCTGCCAATCTGCATGCTACATTATTTCACTTCTCTTTTCTTTCCTTATAATATCCATCAAAACAAGCAAAGTACCAAGGCAACCACCCCCACAAGCACGCTGGTACTGTAAGAAGCCATCAACTTGAAAGAAGCAGAAATGGAAGGAGGCGGAGGGCTATAGTAGTAAAAAGGGAAGTAAGGGACAATAGGGTTAGGAGGTGGGGGTGTGGGATAGTTCTTGGAATTTGGTGGTGGATAGTAAGTGCCACCAACGACACCACCTTGTGGTGGTGGTGGTGAAGAGTAAGTGTAAGTGGAAGGTGGCGGTGGAGAGTAATAGTAAGAGCCCCCTCCTGATGGCGGTGGTGATGGCGGTGGTGGGCAGATGGCGGTGGTGGCTGGTGGAGGTGGTGATGCTGCTGGTGGCGGCGGGGATGGTGGTGGCGGTGATGGAACTGGGGTACTACCACAACATGTGGAGCACATTGTGCATGCAATCTGGTACAACATCCTTGAATTTGGCATTGTTGAGGATTTTGTTGAGGGTAGTAGCACGAAGAGGGCTAGAAGTGAGAGTTTGAGTTTGTGCCTTGTCTCCATTCTTTTTTGCTTCTTGATAGAATTAATTGATAACAAGATCAATGGAGCTTGAACAAGCTAAGGGCAAGCCCTTAACAAATAATTTACGAGAGAGAGAGATGGTGAGAGGGGAGAGTAGTGAGTGGGTGTCAAAGAGATTTGGCTGTGCAAAGTGCCTCTTTTATCTTTGAAGCTCCGCCACCATCCACACAAGGACCCTTAAAAATAGTAGTAGTAAGAGAAAGAAAGGGAGGGTTTAAAAGGGGAGGAGCCAAAAAACGTAAAGGATGACACCGACGCGTTTTACTTTTACTTCACTAGAGGCCTCTCCGTCCCCCCACAAAACGTCCAGTTGAAGGATAATCACGCTCGATACACTATGGTCCTCCAACTCCCTAACTTCGCTCATTATAGCCTCTAATGTCGGATGGAAAACTACATGTACAGGCAGGCAGCCATCTGATCATAGCATGTGAGTTAGAAGGAAGAGTCCAACAGGCAAGCATGGAATGGAGAGGTGTCCAGAGCCTGGATTTAAAGGGTCAAAACGACTAATGGAGGGGAGTTGAGGGACCATGGTGTGAGGTCTTCATAGCTGAAAAAGCGAAACGGTGAGGTTGAAGAAAAAGGTGGATAAGTCATGAATGATGGGCTTGACCTTTGTGAACAGAGTTCACACGTGGAGGGATCATAATGGTTTGATCATTGGGTGATACAGAGTAAACGTCAAGAAGACGTAAGCTCCACGTGGTGCTGGCCCTATTCAATGGAGGTACTGAGAGCTGAAGCGAAAGCATGAAGCCGCCTGGGTTGCCGCTGCTACATTCCTCTTCCATTAACAGAATTTACGTCTAAAAATCATGTGACTCCTTGCACTAGCTCCGAAAATTGGAAGTACTGATATTTATTTTTTAGACGTCATTATAATATAAAAAAGATCAAACCTAGTATTGGAATCTCGAAGGGAGATGGCACGCATGCAACTATTCTTACAGATACGGAGGATACACACCGAGGCTTCTTAGATCATAATTAGTTTTATTCTAGATATCATCTCCGCGTGATTCTGTAGGCTTATAATATGTTTATATGTTATCGTGGATTTATAGAAAAAATAAAAAAATTATATAAAAAATTGTTGTAATTTATAATGTTTTTTAAAAAAATTATAAAATTAAATTTTTAATTAATTTAATATTTTAAAAATGAAATAAACAAAGAAAAAATTTTAAAAAATCAAGTAGAAGAACACTATAGCAATCTATAGTGTTTTTTTAAAAAAAAAACTATAAAGCTAAATTCTCAATCAGTTCAATATTAAAAAAATCAACAAAAATAAAAGGAAAAAAACCATGCAAGGAAGTACGGTAGCACTCTATAGTAGCACCCTATAGTGTTCAGGAAGTACGGTAGCACTCTATAGTAGCACTCTATAGTGTTCCATAAGAAAATCTACAATTGTAATTCTCAATTAACTCAATATTAAAAATAATAAAATTGATAGAGATAATTTTGAAAAAAAAATCATGTGGAGGAATACTATAGCAATCCACAGTGTTTTAAAGAAAAAATTACTAAATTAAATTCTAAATCAGCTCAATATAAAAAAATAAAATCAATAAGGACAATTCTGGGAAAAAACAAAAAAAATCACAAAAAACTATGTGGAGAAACACTGTAACAATCCACGTTATTTAAAAAAAAAACTATAAAGTTAAGTTCTCAACTAGCTCTATATTAAAAAAAATAAAATCAACAAAAACAATTCTAAAAAAATAGAAAAAATAGAAAAAAAAACATGTGGGCAAAGTTAAAACTAATTTCTCAACTAATTCAATATTAAAAAAATAACAGATGATTGTAAAAAAAAATATATATGGAGAAATACTGTAGCAAAACAAAAACAATGTATGGAGATATTGTAACAATTCATAGTGTTTTTTTTTTTAAAATAAACTAAAATTCTCAACTAGCTCGATATGAAAAAAATCATAAAAAATAAAGTCATGTAAGAAATATTGTAGTAATCTATAATATTTTAAAAAAAACTATAGAATTAAATTTTCAATTAGTTCAATATTAAAAAAATCGATAAAAATAATTAAAAAATACAAACAATTAGTTCAATATTAAAAAAATCGATAAAGATAATTAAAAAATACAAAAAAAAAAGACAGTCTTAGGAAAAAAAAAGAAAAAAACATGTAAAACCCAAAAAAGGGGGGAAAAGGAAACAATGCGGGGAAAAAAAGAAAAAAAAAAAAAAGACAGTCTTAGGAAAAAAAAAGAAAAAAACATGTAAAACCTAAAAAAAGGGGGGAAAGGAAACAATGTGGGGAAAAAAAGAAACAAATATGAAAAAGATGATACACAAAAAAAAATTGAACAAACAAAAAAAATTAAAAATAAAAACTTATAAAGTGTAAAGAAAGCTACAGTATTTTCATATGCCTTTTAAAGTATTAGTTAATATTTATGCAAGAATACCTTTTATAAAAAGTTATTAAATATTATTTTCAAACTCAATTCAATAAATTCTCAACTTAT